CTTTGTTGGTGAGGTTAATTTGTGTGTTTTTCCCTTCTTTGGGATTTGCTGCTATAAGACCATCAATTGTCTGTGTTTTGTTGTTGTAGCCAACTTCCTTGGGTTGGAGTTGTCCTTTTAGTATTTTGTGTAGGTCTGGGTTTGTGGCTAGGTATTGGTTCAATCTGGTTTTGTCGTGGAATATCTTGTTTTGTCTTTCTATGGTGATTGAAAGCTTTGCTGGGTATAGAAGTCTGGGCTGACATCCATGGTCTCTTATTGTCTGCATAACACCTGACCACAACCTTCTGGCTTTCATTGTCTCCAATGAACAGTCCAATGAGTGTAATTCTCATAGGTCTACCTTTATATGTTACTTGGTCTTTTTCTTTGCAGCTCTTAATATTCTTTCTTTACTCTGTATATTTAGTGTTTTTATTATTATGTGGCGAGGGGACATTTTTTTGATCCAGTCTGTTTGGTGTTTTGTAAGCTTCTGTGCTTTTGAGTTAAACTTCTTCTTCTATACCTATTATTCTTAATTTTGGTTTTTTCATGGTATCTCATATTTCCTGGATGTTTTGTGTTAGATTTAATGTTTTCTTTGACTGATGAGTTCATTTCTTCTATTGTATCTTCAGCGCTTGAGATTCTCTCTTCTATCTCTTGCATTCTGCTGATTATGCTTGCATTTGTGGCTCCTCTCTCCAATAACACTTCCAGTGTAACTATGGCCCATCTTCTAGCACCACTGAGACTAATGGAAGGCAATCATGTGGAGTAGACTTATTGCCTGAAGTCCATGTTGTTACCATCTCCCTAACAAATGGTGACTGCATGCCATAAGACACTACTGCGTGTTTAGTCTCTCGTAGACCTTTTACACCTATGGGTTCCCATTTACAGTCTGTGTATACATTTGGGTATTAAGTATTTGCTGACTTTTCAGAAGTAGTGACAGGATAAGTAGCTAACATTCTTGGTCAGTCATCTCTGACTCTGAGAAGTGCTGGTGATGCTAAATCTTACTATTGTCTTTTGCCTGTGACTCCTCTCCTTGCTTATCAGTTCTGACCAGTTCCTCAGTCAATTCAAATCTTTTATCACTGCCTTTTGTAAAGCCTGAATCTCTTGACCTGGAAATATTTCTAATGATTTCATCAAATCAATTAATTTATGGTTCTCATTCTGTACATGTGATTAATGACATCTTCTCATCCTTAGATATTATTTGGACGGCATGTAGATGGCCTCCCTGGAGGGATGTTCTATGCGCTAGCTTATCATAACTTTTTAACAGATTTCGATGGTCAATTTCAACAGTATGAATCCTTTCAGATAATCTCTCAGTAACCTTTTGTTTGGTTTCATAACCCATTGACATGGATTGGATTTTGCCTGAGAAGACACAATGGATTACTCCAATTTTTTTCGTATCTGTGGGGTTTGCTTTGTTAACAAGAATGCAATCAATTTTTGAGAAGGTTCCATGAGGTGCTGGGAAGTAGGTATATTCTTTTATGTTTGGGTGAAATGTTCTGTTAAGTCCATTTGATTAGTGATATCTGTTAGTTCTCTTATTTTTCTGTTAAATTTCTATCTGTTTTCCATTGTCAAAAGAGGAGTGTTGAAATCTCCTACTATTAGTGTAGGGGGTTTGATTGAGATTTAAGTTTTAGTAATGTTTCTTTTACATATGTGGGTGCTCTTGTATTAGTAGCATAGATATTCAGGATTGAGACTTCATCTTGATGAATTGTTCCTGTTATGAGTATAAAATGTTTTTCACCATCTCTTCTGGTTGATTTTAGTTTGAAGTCAGTTCTGTTAGACATTAGGATAGCCACACCTGCTTGTTTCTTAGGTCCATTTGGTTAGAAAACCTTTTACTCTGAGGTAGTGTCTGTCTTTGAGGTTGAGGTGTGTTTTTTGTAAACAGCAGAATCCTGGATCCTGTTTTCATATCCATTCTCTTAACCTGTGCCTTTTTATAGGTAAATTGAGACCATTGATATTAAGCGATATTAATGACCCGTGGTTGTTAGCTCTGGTTATCTTTCGGTAGTAGTGTTTGTGTGTTTCCTTTCTTTGGGTTATGTTAGTGGGGGGGGGGTGTTAATCAGAAGTCTGTTATTGTGGGTATAGTTAGCTTCCTTGGGTTGAGGTTTTCTGTCTAGTACTTTCTGTAAGGCTGGGTTTGTGGGTGCGTGTGTTTAAATCTGTTTTTGTCATGGAATATCTTGTTTTCTCCTTCAATGATAAATGACAGCTTTGCTGGGTATAGTAGTCTGGGCTTGCATCCATGGTCTCTTAGTGTCTGCAGCACATCTATCCAGGACCTTCTGCTTTCATGGTTTCCATTTGAGAAGTCAGGTGTGATTCTGATCGGTTTACCTTTATATGTTACTTGACCTTTTTCCTTTGCAGCTCTTAATATTTTTTATTCTGTATGTTTTGTGTTTTGATTATTATATGGCGAGGGGATTTTTTTTTATCCAGTCTATTTGGTGTTCTATAAGCTTCTTGTACCTTCATAAGGATATCCTTCTTTAGGTTGGGAAAGTTTTCTTCTATAATTTTGTTAAATATATTTTCTGTGCCTTTGAGCTGGAGTTCTTCTCCTCCTTCTACCTCTATTAGTCTCAGGTTTGGTCTTTTCATGGTGTCCCAGATTTCCTGGATGTTTCGTGTTAAGAATTTGTTGGCTAGTGTTTTCTTTGACCAATGAGTCTATTTCCTCAATAGTATCTTCAGCACCTGAGATTCTTTCTTCTATGTCTTATATTCTGTTGGTTATACTTGTCTCTGTAGTTACTGTTCGTTTATCCAGATTTTCCATTTCTAGAGTTCCCTCAGTTTGTGTTTTCTTTATTACCTCTATTTTAATCTTCAAGTTTTGAACTGTTTCCTTTACCTGTTTGCTTGCTTTTTCTTGGTTTTCTTGGTTTTCTTTGAGGGATTTGTTAATTTCTTCCAGCTTTCTGTTTGTCTTCTCCTCCATTTCTTTGAGGGAGTTTTTCACTTCATCTTTAAAGGTCTCCATCATTTTCATAAAGTTACATTTAAAGTCGTTTTCTTCTATTTCTTATGGGTTAGAATGATCAAGTCTTCCTTTTTTGTATCCACTGGGTTCTGGTGTTAGGATGTTGGAGGAATTCTTACATTGGCGCCTTCCCATCTCTTCCTTCAAATGAGGCCAGTAGTGTCTTGGCCTCTTGGTCCAATCCTTGCTGTGGCTGTCTCTCTTATGACCACCAAGTATTGGTCTCGCAGGGTTCCAGGGAGCTCACAGAGAAAGGTGGGTTGGGGCAGGGTGGATTGAGGGCTAACAGGCCAGCTCTCTGCTGGTGGCTAGGAATGCCAAAAAGAAGGGGGGCCCTGACTTTTCTCCCACATGGAGGTTTTAGGTAGTAGTAGTGGAGGGTCTGAGGCCACAGTGCCACTATTGACTCACCGCTTATGTCCAGCATGGAACTCGCAGAGAGCCTAGTCTAATATTTCTTAATGAAGTCGTTTTCTATAAAGTATGTTCTGTGTAAGTTAAGTGTAGGTTTTAAAGATGCTTCTCTGGGTTGTTTGTCAGCAGCTCTGGTCCACATATCCTGAATATGCTCATATCCTGACTGATTCTGTTCACAGTGAAGAGGACTGATAAGGACACATCTTAGTAATCTTGGAATAAATGAGTTCTCTTAAAGGTTAAAATTCAAGCTTTAAGATAAGAAGAGGGAGTCTATGAGCAGAAGCTTTAGTCAGTAAAACTGACAAGTTCAGAGGACGATACAAAGGATGCAGAGTGTTGCACAAATAATAAAAACCCAGAGACAGATATTGGGGCTCAGGATGAAGATCAGAAAAGCAAAGCAGCCAGCCACTAGAGAGGTCTTACCTCTACACGGTTCAGACAAACAAAGGGGAGATCCCAGCTCTGTGAATCCTCAGATAGAGACCGAGACCTCTCTCCTCCAGTATTATATTCCTCTCTAGTGCTGGGATTGAAGGCGTGCACCACCACTGCCTGGCCTCTATGGCTAACTAGTGTGGCTGCTGGGATTAAAGATGTGTTCCACCACTCCCTGGTCTGTATGGCTGACTCGTGTGGCTGCTTTGCACTGATCTTCAGGCAAGCTTTATTTATTAAAGCACAAATAATATACCACTATAACAGAAGATGATTTAGGACCTTCCCCTGGTCTCCCCATATCCCTCAACCTCATTTTCCATTGACTCAGAGATGTTGTTTGTAGCTAGCATTGCTAGAATGTGCCTTCCTGATAGTGACATGTTCTTTGCCACCCCGCATGCCCTTAACATACAGTTGTGTTGATGATGAGCAGAATGGGTTTAGCAGTGAACAGTGAGCTAGATTCCTGAAATTCATACGAGACTAACTAAAGGAGTTTCCTTCTTATGTATAGATCAGGGTGAGGGGTGATGTAAGTTTAGTAGGGAGATACTAAAGGGAAAGCAATTCATTTCCTGATAAGGCCTGGGCCACTTAAAGATTCTACAATGATGTGGACTCAACAGAGTAGAAGCGTGATGGAGCTGGACGTCTCCAAGGCAACTTCTGTGCCCTGCAGTCACTAGTGGGACACCATGGAAGGGTTTTGGTGTGTGTGTGTGTGTTTGGTTTAGGGTTTCTGAGTGAACATTAGGAGAAAATGTATTTGAGTCATGAAAGCCTGAGGTCTGAGCTGTGCAAACAGAACCATGAAATTTTTCAAGATTGCAGACTCAACCTCATGTGGGAATCAAATGCAGGGAAACGGGTGTAACTTCTGACGTCTTAGTCAAGCTTCTTATTGCATTCTCCATTAGAGAGGAAGTAACAGCTTCACTTTTGTCAAAAGGTTTTTGTTTCTTACTTGGAGAGTATGAAAGATGATTTACTGCAGTGGGTTTGACTTCTGTAATGGGAAGAAAGCTTGGGTTGGGGGAAAGAAAGTTGAATATTAATATCAGTCTTTATATATCATTGAGCCTTTTTCATTTTATTGTATCATTTTTTTCCATTTCAGATACCGTGGAGGTTTCCCAGTATAGCCTTCTTTTTAATAAACTTCTAGATGCCTGTATAGAAAGTAACAGTCTTGGCATATCATCTTGTGTAGCAGAGTTCATGGTTTCCAAAAGCATCCCTATTGACTTTTCCTTTCTCAGGAGACTAATCACTTCCTTGGGAAGAAGTTGTTTGTGGCTCAAAGCCAGAACCCACTACAAAAGTAAGCTCCATTGAAATGTTTGAATTAATATGTTGATTTTGACTATTTTTTAATCTAGAACTCATCTATAATATTTTCAGAATGCAGAAATAATAGTTGGTACATATTCACAGGTAGTGGTCTGATAGATCTGTGCTGAGTTTTGAAAACTTTCTGTCCTTTGTTTACAAGTGCCATGCTTTTCTCCTAGCATGTCGTCCATTCCAGTAGAGGGCAAACAAAGAAAATTTGACCCCGTTTGACAGATCTTAGGTGAATTGAAATGGAAATGTTTGGGTGTCAGACATCCCAGCCACCCAACCTGAACTAGAAGTGTTTTTAAACTCCCAGCTATGATCACCTTAACAAGTGGTAACTTTTCTTCCCAACAAAATGGGAAAATAATTAGGTTTAATTATAAGTAATAAGTTTAAGTGTTTAATGCACTTTTTGTTTGGGGGGTTAGGTTTTGATTTTTAACGGGGTCTCATGTTTTATGCATGTGTGCACACACACATAAACATAACAGTAATTAAATAAAACTTAAATATTTAAATGTTACTGGAACATCTTTAGATTGTGTTTAGATATAGTTCTCAGAGATTAACATCATCATGAATGATATAGTTTAGATATGTGTTTAGATATAGTTCTCAGAGATTAGCATTATCTTGAATATAAAAAACATTTTAAACAAAATCAACATACAGATTTAATTTGATTTTGATAAACTGTATATGATGTTATCTGTGTCAAATTGAGTGTCCTCAGAGTATTAATTATCATTTCTAATAAGCAGCCAAACAGTTTAAAGTTAAGTCAAATCTGTTCTCCTGATCTGTGGAGTTGGTGGTTGTGATGGCCATATACAGGGTGGAGCTGTACTTTGTGTCTGTGCTCAACACTTGCCAGGCAGAGTAGGAACAGTAACAGCCTCAGCGTCCTAAGTGCTGAGATTAGAGGCATGTACCACCACACCTTGCTACTTATTGATTATTCTGAAATTATGTCATATATATTATTATGACTTGAAAAAATGGGCATTTGCCACAGTAAAACACAAAGGACATATTTCAGAGTTCTCATAAAGAGTAGTATCTAATGTACCAAGATGCTCACTATCATAAAAGGTGTAATAAACATGCAAATGCAAAAGTTACCCTGCCCTATACGTAGCTCCCAGCTGAACGCTTAAACAGTTTTAAGTCTTACCCATTGAGGTTTGGTGAAGTGTGACCTGTTGTTTAATTTTTAGGTGCTCTTTCACTGGGCTGCTACCCACCATTAGAAGGGAACTTAAACCGGAAAATTCTACTGATTCCTTCTTATTTATCTGAGATTGAAATGCTTTTAGCTATTGAAATATTTCTGGTGTCTAATGCTAGCAGTATTCAGAGCCCAGGACCTTCCACTCAGGTGCTGCAGATCGTTTTGAAAAGGTGGGTTACTAGAGCTCCAGCCTCTGAACATGGATGTGCTCCATAGTGGCTCCACACTGCTCTCTAATGCGGTGTCTGTGCCTTGTGTTTGTTTATACTCTGTGTGTGTTTACATGTATATACACATATATTATGAACGTGGATAACATTTAAACTGAGAAAGAACAAGACCTACTTGAAACTAAAAACCACACAAGTTAAAAGGTTGTTGATGAACTTCAGTGATAAGAGTGTAGATGCATGAGAAATAATAAAGAAATAAAGGCCAAACAAGTTAACCTCAGTAAACAGACCTTAATACATGTCATAAGATATGGATCTTCTTTAAGTACCAACCTTCCTTGTGTTAAAAAGGGTCTTTATATAAAAACTTTATGAATCTCTTATTTATTCAAGAAGGAGAAACTGTCTTTGTCTTCACTATCTAAAAAATGCTTGAGATTCAGAGCAGGAAATAGTCAGCGTCTCTAACAAACCCTCAATCCAGTTGGCTCATGGCAGATGCTCCCTGACATCTCATACTCAACCGATGAATCTGCTTTCTCCGTTTGTTATAGGAGTCATTTGGCCCCATTTGTTTGTTTGTTTGTTTGTTTGTAGACAGGATTTCTCTATATAACAGCCCTGGATGTTCTGGACCTCACTCTATAGACCAGGCTTCTCAGAGATCTGCCTGCCTCTGCCTCCCAAGCGTTGGGATTGAAGGTGTGAGTCACCACCACCCAGTTGTGTAGCCCCTGTTTAACAAGAGGAAATCATTTTACTTGCACTTTTTTAAAAACCCCATTGAAACTAGCCTTTGTTCTTATAGCTCTGTTTTTAGCAGGTTGTGGGCTGCCTTTATTTGACAATGCACACTATGTGGCATGAGGTGTCTGAGTTTGATTCTTAAAAGAATTTGATTTCTTCTTGCATCCATTTCCCACACATGCAGCCTCTGTATTCATTGTTGAATATGAGGGTAGTTGTAGTCCTAGTTCCTGACCAATGACATACCTAGAGCTTTGATTTTTATGAAGGTCAATATACTTTGTCTTGCTGGTGTGCTGATCCCTGCCTTAGGGTGCTAACCTCTATTGAATCTTACTCATTTTTAAACATTGAGAATATGCCACCTATTCAGTTTTTCAATCTATCAAACTCTAAAGTACCTCATTTAGTTTAGGAGTCCCCAGAGAGCACTTTTGAAGGGCAAGCCTTATTTATGTTACCCAGTTGTTCTTGCCAGTGTTAATTTAGGTAGAACCATTCTTAGAACTCGATGCTCACTGACTCCCAAGGTACCAAGAACAAAAAAGCAAGACACCTCCCCCCCCCAAAAAAAGGCTGGGTGGTGGTGGCACACACTGTTATTGAACCCCAGCACTCAGGAGGTAGAGGCAGGCAGATCTTTGTGAGTTCGAGGCCAACCTGGTCAACAAGAGCTAGTTCCAGGACAGGCTCCAAAGCTACAAAGAAACCCTTTCTTGGAAAGAGAAAAAAACAAGAAAACCATAATATCACATATTTTAAATACGTTAACTATTTCCTTTATCCAGAAGAAAAGCTAGCATAAATTAAGAATTTCATGCCTGCAAACATAATCATAATTGATGGCAGACAGAGCTTGAAAAAAATTTTAACATCTAATGAAGTACCCAGATCAGGGCCAAAGAAAACCACACGTGCTTAATAAATGTTAACTGCATGCTAAGTACTTGTTTGAAACTAGAAATAACTAATGCCAAGAGAAAACCACTGTGATTATTAATAATTTAAGATGTATTGCACTTAATACTAACTTATTCAGCTTAGTATTTACAGTTCTTTGTAAATACAAATAGAGAGGTAACTAGCTGTGTTCTAGATCAGTGTTTCTCAAAGTACCCAGTGCTACTGGATCCTAATATAAAATACCTCTCCTACTGCAAACCATGGTCCAAAAAGCTTAGCATCACTGCTAAAAGAGAGCATGATAGTTTGGAACCAATAACTACAAATGACTGTCCTACAGAAACCACACTACTTCTGTTGAGAATTTCTGCTTTTGTGTTCACTTTACAGAAGTGAAGAGAGCAAACCTCAAAACAAGGACGACTACCAAGCTGCAGTAGAAAGATTGATCATGGCTGCTCGCATATCAGATCCCAAGCTTTTCATTAAGCACATGACTGTCAATATTTACAAGGAGCAGGTTTACAGTCTGGAGCAACGTTCTGCCCTGAAGTGGTTGAAAGAGAATTTGAAGTGGGCTGGAAACATTTGGCTTTTCACTAACCATTAGTTAACAAACGTGTTGTTGTTGGGTTTTTTTTAAGTTCAAGTAATCATTGTTGAAAATAAAAGACAATAAAAATAGCTCTCATTGTATTCAGCATTTGTATCTTATCGACACTAGAAGTTATCAAATAGTTTTCAAGTAATAAAAAATTTTATTTGCTTGCAATAGTTTTATTAACAATAAAAAGTGACTTTTAAAATTGCTTTTTTACTTAAATTTAGAATGACCTAAGTATGGTAAATTTCTTTTTAATAATGTAATTCAAAGAGTTGAGAAGCCTTCACTGAATGCTGTGTAACCCTTAACAAGACCACCCGCAGGGTACTGGGGGTGGGGGGGTACTAAGAGCCACCAGATACTACAAATGACTTTGCCATAGTCGGGGTTACCACTGCCAGAATAAAACACCCATTGTTGTCTGAGTTTTCGGTCCTGCCTGGTCCTGCAGTCATTCAGTCCCAAAGAATCACACAGAGGTCTACATCTATTATAAACTGATTGGCCCAGTATCTCAAGCTCTTCTTATTTACTAATTCTTATAACTTACATTAGCCCATAATTCTTGTCTCAGCCATGTGGCTTGGTACCTTTTTCAGTGAGGCAGTCACATCTTGCTTCCTCTGAGGCTGGGTCACAGACTGTGGACTTAAACTTTCCTCTTTCCAGAATTCTTGTTGCTCTGCCTCTACTTACTGCCTGGCTACTGGCCAATCAGTGTTTATTTAAAATACAAGTGACAGGGTACAGACCATGGTCAAAAGCAACTTGGAGATAAAAGGTTTATTTGACTTACACTTCCACATCATAGTTCATACCTGATGGAAGTCAGGGCCAGAACCTAAACATGGCCGGAACCTGAAGGCAGGGGCTGATGCATAGGCTATGAAGGGGTGCTGCTACTGGCTTGTTCCCCATGGCTTGCTCAGCCTGCTTTCTTAGAGGACCTAGGACCAGCAGCCCACAATGGGCTGGGCCCTCCCCTACTGATCACTTACTAATGCCTTACAGCTGGATATCATGGAGGTATTTCCTCAGCTGAGGCTCCTTCCTCTCTTATGATTCTAGTATGTGTCAAGTTGACATAAAATTAGCCAGCACAGACTTAAAACATTAAAATTCAGAGAACATTATATCAAATGTTTAAATTACCCTCAACAATTTTCTTTTAGTATCCATATTTCTTTTTTATCACATGTGTAAAGTGGGAGGCACACTCCTTGCAACAGCCACGTGGAAGTTGTAAGACAGCTTTTGGAAATTTGTTCTTTCCTTCCACCTTTATCTGGTGATCAAACCGAGGTGGTCAGGCTTGTGGGTCTGACAGCAAATACCTTTATCTGCTGAGCAACCTGACCAACGCAGAACTGTAGGATTTTTGACAATGTGTGACTCGTGTGTTAAGTTAGATATTGCTAAAGAAAATATTAAATATGCCAAAAGTTAGATATCTAACAAGGATTGTTCCAAAGCACTAGGAAGTCATCTTCAGTATCTGTAACCTGTTCTCTTTAATGAAATCCTCACTCTTTTTGTTTGTTTGTTTTGGTTTTTGTTTGTTTGTTTTGGTTTTTTGAGACAGGGTTTCTCTGTAGCTTTGGAGCCTGTACTGGAACTAGTTCTGTAGACCAGGCTGGCCTTGAACTCACAGAGATCTGCCTGCCTCTGCCTTCCGAGTGCTGGGATTAAAAGCATGTGCCACCACTGCCCAGCTTGAAATTCTCATTCTTAATACTGTAAACACAAATTCAAGTCTTTATGAATTAAAAAAAGCTCTAAGTAGGGTAATAAATGGACAAGTGGTGAGCAGGGGGCACAAGGTATTAAAGGAGTTCTCAAAATAGATAAAGTCAGTATCCTTAAGTCTGTGGTCTCATTAGTGTAGGAAAATTAAATCCCAGCACTCTTAAGCCTGATTGAAGTGTGGCAGGCACATTGCCAAAGCCACGAGGTAAATGTCGCGAGGGAGTTCTCATAGGCAATTACAAACCACGCTCCTAGAGACTGGGGCTGCAGCAATGCGGGTGCAAAGCTGCCGCCGGGAGAGCGAAGATTCATCCAAGAGAAGGGATGGGACTGGGATTGGCACTGGAAAAACGTAGGCTTCTTGCCTATTGACCAAGCCAAGAGGTAGCATTAGCGAAAGGAGCAGTTACTGTTACATCTTCTGCAGTTCTGGATATCAAAGTTAGGGCGTGATATAAAGTAGAAAGCCCATGCTAACTGAGAACACTACATTTAAAAATAGCCTAGTAGCGTGGAGTGGTAGCTGCAAGTTCAAGACCAGTATGGGATACAGTGGGAGACAGTGTCTCAAATGATACTGAGTAAATCCAGATAATGCTAGAGGCAAAGTCAAGTAGGAAATGTAGGCCAGAGAGGAACAGGAGACTTCAGACTCAGCTGCATCTGGGAAGCAAATCAATACTTCCAACGACTGCTCAGTGAGAATCAGCATCAGCAGAGCGCCCCGCGCCGCCCCCACCCCGCGCCAGCCAGGGCGCTGCGCATGCGCGCATTCGCCCCGCCCCCTGGCCCTGGCTCCTCCTTCACCTTTGCTCTTCGTCCCTACCTACCCGCTAATCATCTTTCTCCCTCAGACTCAGTCGGTGCCTGAGCGCAGGCTGTGTCTCCCGAAGCCCGCAAGTAGCGGGGTAAGGACACAAACTCCTGCGGCTTTGCAGCGGGGAGGGAGGAAGGCCAGCGACAGACGGCCGCAGCCCCGGCCGGACAGCGGCTTCCCGGCCTTGCGCAGGCGTTCTAGGAGGAAGGCCGCTCCGCCGTAGCCAATGAGCTTGGGTCCTGCGGCCTGCTCGCCGGTCAGGGTGACCCAGGCCTGTGCGGGCCTGAGGCAGTGGGCGAGGCCTGTCAAGACCTCTTTGCTTAGCACAAATTGAGCAGGAACTCCACCCTTACCCAGAACTCGACCTGTGAGTGCCTGAGGTGTGGGCGAGGCCTCCAGGTGGGAGCTGGGTTTAGGCTGCTGGGAGAGCCTGGAGGCTGGTGGGGCAGTGGGAGGCCAAGTTTGAGGCAGGCCCTCCAATTCACCTCTAGACCTGCAATCAAACTGAGGAGACTCCTAGAGGGGTGGTGGGAAGTGTAGTCCCTGAAAGGTTGTACTACACCAAAGAACTTAGTGACTTTGCTAATTAATTCGAGAATATGTGTGGGAATGGACGTTAAGGGTGTAGGAAAATGGCCAAAGGGAACGGGATCAGGCAGAATCGATCAGTGTGGGACCACTGGAGGCTTAATATAGAGCTTAATATAGAGCTCATAGAGTTGCTGTTTTTAAGGTTTCAAGGTTGGTTGGTTGGTTGGTTGACTGAAGCATTTCTCATCCCCAGATGATGGAAAAGGAACTGGAGATGCCTGATACCCCTTGCTTAGTGTTGATGAAGGGATTTTAAGCTCAGGGAAAGTGGAACACAAGCGTGGGTACGCTGTGAAAAATTAGTCCTCCATTATGGGAAGGCCCAAAAGACATGCCCTACACTAATCCTATAGGATGCAGATGGGTTCAGGGGCAACAGCAGGTCGGAAGAGCCTCGCGGTTACTCCTTTTCTCGTGCCAGATCTTAGGGTTGGAGACTGACGCTCAGCTGGATGACTTCCATTCAGTGGGGTTTAATTGGACCCTGGATATACAGCACCAACGCCTGTAGATAGGTGAGGCTGGGCCAGCAGTGCCTATATCCTTCTTGAAATGAAGTGTTTGCAACTGTCTTGTTTTCTCCTGTGCCTTTGACCTTCGAGATGCAATTATGGTGTAGATCTCCAGGACGAGATATAAAAAAGGAAGCTAAAGATCTTGTTATCCAATGATTTATCTAATACTGTTCCCCGATTTTGCTGTTCTTGTTTACTTTTTACCCTACTCTAAGTTGGGAGCCTAAAAGCGACGGAAAAAATAATGTCTGGTCTCTGGGTGAGAGGATGCATGCTTTTAATCCCAGCGCTCCAGAGGCAGAGGCAAATGGATCTCTATGAACTGGATGGTAGCCTGGTCTACATAGTGAGCTCCAGGCCAGCCAAGTCTACATAGTGAGATCTTGCCTACAAAAACAAAAAAGATAAGAAAGAAATGCATGGTTTTAACATTACTTGAGAGAACAGATTTCTTCTAAAACCTCACTGTAGTTACAAAGAATAGCTATACTTTACTAAAGTGAGAGTGGTGTGAGACTTAATTAAATTACTTTCAAATACAAAGAGTGTCAAGAGGCTGAAGCTCAATCTTGAAGATCTCTTATTTGAGAACTTCAGTACTTGTCAAAAATACTGGCCAGAGGCAGCTGGGTGTGCACAGCAGTTCCAGGCCAGCCTGAGCTACGGAGAGTGTTTCAGACCTCAGGGAAGAAGAGGAAGGAATGAACAGAAGGCATTATCACTATCAAGTAGATTCAAGAACCCATTTATACTGGTGTGTAATTGGCTACCTTCTATCCACATAGTAGACCATTTCCTTGGGACAAGGCATTCCAGGGTGTCCTCCCTCTACTGCAGGAGATCTCCCATTACTCTGTGCGAGTCTCAATCATTGCATTTGCTGCTTTGTTCTCTGGTTGTCTTCTTGTGTCTGTGTCCCTCTTCTCCACCCCCTCTTCCTGCACTGTAAGTTTAGTGAAAACGGCAATTGTCTTAATGCTTGTTCAGTGTTTTTCCTGGGACCTAACACAGCACTGAGTGAATGCTTATCGGTGAACTGGTGAGTTAAGGGATCAGAATGCTGGTAGGCAGAGAGCATCTGTACTCGCTGGGTTGCATGCTGGTAGACAGAGAGTGTCTTTAGTCACCGGGTCTCATGCCCGAGGTTTTTCTCCAAGTGGAAGGGGGATATTGACAGGAATGTGGGAATCTGCCTGAAGACAGAACTCCTGTGGCTGCCGTAGCTGGGCTAGGCTTTTGAAGCTGGTGTCACCAGTATGGCACAGCCCGCAGCAGTGGAAGAGACAGTCCCTTACTGCTGGCTGTGCAGACTGAGTTCATCCAGAGATTTTACTCAGCTGAAGCTGGGGTCTTGATTTACACCGCAGAAAAAGAATTTCAGGGTAAGACAATATGAAGATAGG